TTGAATCGCACTGTTTGTTAAGCGTCGGTTTCAGTTCTTGGATAAAAAACATTTCAAAAATAAGACAGTCAAATTTGTTCTGACACTTTCTTAAGATTCTAAAACTTTGTGCGATGTCTTCAGGCTCCATATCATGCTGCTCTCTGAGGTGGTTTCCAATTGCCGATCCTTTGTGTTCTTCAATTCGTTGGTGTAGGTGTCGGCACGTTATCACATTTTAGCGTTCACCACATTTTTATCTATTATAACTTGTTTTTAACTTATTTATGCTAATTTAGAGAACTTTTATACACTTGAAAATGACCTCGGAGAGATCGAAACGTCGTGATTTTTTATCGCTAGTAAAATATTACGCTTTTAATTGAAAATATGTTACCCGTTTGCCCTACCATGTTTTCAATGACAATGGTCTCCAATTTGCGCGATCAATTCCCTCGTGGACTTTACGAGTCTTCCGAAGTATCTACGAAGAATAGCGACGTCCATGTAACAGTCATTCAAGATAAGTGTACGTTATTTTTACGACAATTGTCTCATTTGCTGATTCACAGTGTTTGTTCATCTTTTGGAGGCCTTGAAACTGAGTTTTTTTTAATTAAATTCACGATACACGAAAAATAAAAACGGCTAATCACGCATCGCGAAAATACCCTGTACGACCCTCGTCTTCTTTTTGCTAATTATGCCAAGTTATGTGCTCCTGGAGTGCACGTGCAAAACCGCTGTTCTTAAGAACTGTTTATCAAACCCTTTTTCGGATTTCAAAAAAAAAAAAAAAACGGAAAGAAAGGGAGTCCAAGAACATGTATCTCAGCGTTGAAATCCGCTTTCAGATTTCGCGTTTGATTGCAAATCGGAAGTCCGGATTTTGAAATCTAAATCCAGATTTCCCAATCGAACGCAGCCATACTGAGTCTTCAAAGATGAAAATAGACAGCTGTTGGGCTCACAATAATCTCCACCTGGGTCATCATCATTGAATAACATTTGTCTTCGGGCAACCCCCCCCTTTTTTTTTTATTAATCTTGCAAAAGGAGTTCTTATAATATATCTGGCGGCGGGGTTTGAAGCTCCCGATTTTAATGTTTAAGAAATGTGCAGGGAACAATTTTAAGCAAATTATGGGTTTCTTTTTTTGTATTCATGAAATGGGGGTTTTCTTAATTCATAACGTAAACAGTTGTCATGGTATTAGCATCAACTGATCTCCACATTGTACTGAGAGACCTATTTTATGCTCAGAATAGTTTGTGTCATAATGAAATTCAATTCAATTCAAAGACTGTGTCTAAAGCTATTTTACCGCGGACTCTTCATCGAGGGAGACACAAATGACACGCATTTCGTTTTTCACTTCGTTAATTTCCCTGGTAAACATCCTAAACGGTTCAAAAAGTTTCCTATCCTTTCCAGATTTCAAATTGCGTCACTACGCAGAAAAAATTATCGGGAGAAGACTGAATGGAAGCACTATCAAACAGCTGAATGTGACATCAGAAATGTCTTGTCAAATTGAATGTGTGGCAGATAACCGCTGTTTATCGTACAACTTAATTCCGATTCTAGGCATGGATGTATTAATCTGTGAAGTCAGTGACTCTGATAGATTTGTTGGGTATCAGAATTTTACAAGCGAAGTTGGGGGCATCTACAGAGGATTAGAGGTAAAAGTAAATGAGGAGCTAATTTCTTTCTTGTAAGTAAATATGTATAGCGCTAAAGACCCTAGTTGTCTGAATAAGCCTAACTTAATCTTACCTATATACCCGCCTCGACTAGTTTTAACTATTTGTGGGTACTATTCAAACGCAAAATGTCTGTTTCTTAATAAATTGTGTGTGTTGTTGTTGTTGTTGGGTTTAGATCTAATTTGAATAAGGTATGCTGGTAGTGAATCTAATTTCTGTAATATGAAACGAAAAACAGGGAATTATTACGTGGCGTTATAAAGTTTTTTTTGAGATGGCATAGTGCAGAATCGCAGCTATATGAACTTTGATTCTTTATAGCCTACTCACATAAAAAGAATTCTTCTTGTGCGCAATATTGTTATAATGGAGTAAAAAAAAAAAGAAAAAAAAGAAAAAAAAAGCATTTTATTTGAGTGTCAATGTATTTAGCACGAAAGTGCTAATTGGGGACACTATATTTTACGTCTCCTAATGGAGACAGGACCGCCATTTTACGTGGTCATCCGAGCCACGCGAAGGTCCAGCCATTTGAAGGGCAAAGGAAGTACCTTCATTTCTCAGTTATTTTAAGACTCTGAGTATTGGTCCGGCCCCGGGAATCGAACCCGCGACCTCCCGCTCTGCAGTCAAGCGCTCTACCGACTGAGCTAACCCTGCCGCGGGAGTACTTGTCGATAAGTATGTAACTATTTTTCAGAGTATCTGTGAAAGAGAATCACCGTGTGCGAACGATGATCAGGATGAAGTGTGCATTCCTGACTACGAAGACGACGCTAGGCATTTCTGTAAATGTATAGGCTGGTAAACAAAATAAAAATTAAATTAATACTTCGCCAACTCCATGAGAGCAGAGCTTTTTAACAGCCCCCTGCCGTCCCCCCCCCGAAAAAAAACAATCGTGACATATCATGATTCTTGTTTCGCAAACTGTGTTAAGACAAATGATAATCTCTGAGGAGCGAGAAAGTTCCTGTCTGTTTCCAGAACTCAGTTTAACGGGATCAATTTTATTGATTTACTGTTGTTCTGAAAGAAATACCACAAAGAAATCGAATTTATTACGTCTCAGTTATGCCAAGTTGGCCCATGTAAGGTAATCAGAGACGTTTTTGGAATCTGGATTCCACTCAGTGGATTCGGGATTCCGGATTCTAATCGTAAGCGGGACTCCGGATTCCTTAAGCTGCATGCCGTATTCCACAAGAAAAAAATTCCTGGATTGCGGGATACGGATTACCTTACAGGAGGCGAAACGATTGTATTTAGTCTGTACAAGAATGAAGTGCCATTATTAGTTATCCCTCATGTTAATACAATTGTGGCGTTGGGTCGCTGAGGGGAATGCAGCAGTAGACCAAAACAGAGGTGATAAAGATAGTTGGAGTTTCAAAACCCGATGTTTCAACAAGCAATAGCCCTTAGTCAGAGAGATTCGGTTTGCTTTGACTAGCCTGAGTATAGGAAGGTGTTTCTCGAAAAAGGGGGAAGAGCTGGGAGAGGGCAACAGTGGAGACAGCGAAGGGATAGAAACAAAAATCTCCGCTCTCCTAAGGAGAACCTGATACTCAAGCTTCGCTCCGACGGTTGGCTATATATCGTTCGAAGTGTCAGGTTTTCAAAGGTAATTGACTTACTAGTAGTCAAACTAGCCTATGGAACAAAATTTTTGCATTTAATCTGTAGTTACTTTCCGTCGGATCAACGCGGATTCCAGCACGGATCTTTTTTGTTGAAAAACTGAAGCAGATTTTCCCAACGCGGACTATCTCACTTTTACTATTTGTATCCCTAATCACTTAAGGCCTCATACAATGGTTTTCCAATTCAGAATGCCTAATGCATTGTCAAGACCTTTACTTAAAGGGTTCCACGACTGATGGAGTGTACTTGGTTTACCGTGACAACGAAGAACCCATTAAAGTGCTCTGTGACATGACAACTGAGGGGGGTGGATGGACGGTCTGTCAAAGACGAATGGATGGATCAGTGTTCTTCTACTTGGGATAGGAAGACTACAGAGTGGGATTTGGAAATCAGAACGGGGAGTTCTTGTTAGGGAATGATAATCTTCACCGTCTAACTGCAAATGCTACTATGATGCTCCGAGTTGTTTTGGAGGATTACGATGGTGTCCGAAAATATGCCGAGTACATGACATTCTCTGTAGCTGACGCGAACGACAACTATCGACTGACGATTGACGGATATAATGGCACGGCGGGTGACTCGATGGTCGTGTGTGCAAGGCCAGCTAGGTGCGTAATAGCAAAACATTAAACAATCATTGTATTGAGATAAAGCAGAAACTCATAACAAAAACATCTAAAGTTAACAAGTTCTATAAAAGCTCTTTCTATTCACTCGAAAACTAGCATACCTGCGCGTAAACATATCTTCTAATACTTAAAATGGTTATACCGCCGAAAATCAGGGCATGATCCCAGGCTAGTTTTCGAATTTTTCGTATCAATTGAATTAATATTAAATTAGAATTATAAATATATTAAGGTTAATGATGTCCCTGTTCGTGTATCCTCATTCGCATTACTGTTCCTGTTCCTATTCCGTCTCCCGTTCCGGTTCCGGTTCTCGTTCCCATTCCCGATTCCGGTTTCCGGCTTTTCCAGACGCCCCACTGAAGTTGCCTTTTAGTTTAGTTCTGAATTAATATTAAAAAACAGTGAACGTTAACGTTCAAGAAGTCTAAGGGCAACCAAATTTGAGCCAGGCATCGCACAGAATGGCTTTCTTACAGTACAAGTTTTAGATTTAGAAATACATTTTGATTCACTGGATGACTTTCATTGGCGAAGTGATTTTTAATACACACGTTTTCCGTACTACAACCTTAATGGGACTGACGTAAGATAACATAAGAGAGACTCCTGGAATGAGGCTAGAAAAAAAAAAATTATTGGATGAGATTTTTGTGATATAAAGACATTATTGTTATACTGAGAGGTGGTCATGATATGCTGAACGCGCTTTCCTGATAAAGAAACTCATGTGTATTCAGCTGTCTATTTACTGTTATGTATCGGTCAAATCGAAGCTTCAACATGCCCCCCCCGGGCAACCCCCCGGGCATTTGACTTTTTTGAAAATTATCGTTCAAATTCCCCCCTACCCGGGCCAAAATATCGTTCAAATGCCCCACACTAGGGTCCATTCAGGTGATCAAATGCCCCCACCCCGGGGACAGTTCACAGGCACAAAAATGACAGAATAAATATAACAAAAACTGAGAAACTGTTAGCGTATTTACTACGAACAAAAGTCTCGTGCAAAACGGCGGAAATCGCTGCTACAAGGTCACTGAATGTTCAGCTTTTCTTCGTCATGCAACATACAAAGCGTTCTATAAAAAAGATCCCACCTATACTGAGATTACTACATCATGACCATTTCACTGACATGCATCATCGTTCACCTTATTAATTAACATACTTGCAGTAGGTCAAAGTAGATGACCTGAGCTTTTTATCTTATTTCATTTATGTTGTTGCTGATTGAATCGCCGATATAGTTATTGTATTTCATTGTAAACAAAATACATTCATACATTCAAAGCCTGAATCCAATATTAAAAATTTTAAAATTTAAATACTTCAAATACGGCACAAAGCTTGTTTAAGGCCTTTCCTCGCAACCAATTGGCCACAAAGGCACAATCTTTTCCACGAAAATCCTTTAACACCGCGTCCCCCATGATAGCTCGCCACGCCAAAGATTTTACGTGAAATCGAGGGTTCAGTTCCAATTCCCCACCCCTAAAGCATGGGGATCAAATGCCCCACCCCCTGGAAGACTCTGATAATCAAATTCCCTCCTCCCCGGGACGGCAAAGGTGTCAAATGCCCGGGGTATGCCCGGGGGGGGGGGCATGTTGAAGCTTCGATTTGACCGATACATTAATGCCTAATTGAAGAAGGGCGGAGTTGTCTTTTAGTTTTTACTTAATTAATGCCTTATCCATACAATCGTTTCCCCTGTTTTCAGATCTTAAGAAGAAGCTTTTTTTTTCTTTCACTTATTTAATGAGTTTTTGATCCCTAACTTAATAACCCTAAGTTTTTGATACGAATAAACTTAAATAGTGAAACTTATGCATTATTATTATCATCGCCATCATAAACTTTGTTTTAAGTTTCAAGGTTTTTAGCTTAAGGGCTAATTCCTTACACTGAAATACTGAATCCATAAAAAAAAAAGAATTAAAAAAGAAAAGTTGTATAAAATAATACAAAAATGCCAAAAAGTTATAAAATTCATCCCCAAAACATTTTGTCGTCGTAAAAACAACCCACCAAGTTTCGGCCTCGGTTAAAAGTCCATGATTTTTCTTGAAAGCTTAAAAAAGTCGATCAATAAGTCGTAACTGGTACATCTCGCCCTATCAATTGGAAACCAGTATCTCTGTTTGTTAGCTAAACGAAGTTATTCAATAAATAATGAGCTCAGGATGAAAGCCTATTTGGTTGATTACAGCAATAATTGATCATTCATTTGACGAGAAATGCAACTTTTAGGTAAGAACTAGACTGCGTACCGCTAGACGCAGCATAAAAATGTAGTTTGGCGACGGTTGAAACAATGGACAAATTGGAGAAATACCAGCTTTCAAATAGCATTCGGATGGAAGTGTGATGCGGTCATCATTAAACACATGTTACTTGGAATCCGTTTCGATTTGACGCTGGAAGAAGCCTTTTGGACATTGGGGAACTGGGCAAACAAGGCAAACAATGCCCGTAATTGCCCCACCAAAGCGTTACGTGTTGTCTGGAATGATTTTTGTTGGTTTTTTTGTTATGTCTGGTTTACGAGTCAACTTGAACGTAGCTATCGGCGCCATGGTTAAAAACCACACGGCAGTGGTGGACGGACAGACCATTTGTAGGGTAAGCCTGTATAAAAAATATTCCTCTATTTATGTCCCATTTATGATAAACGTATTACTTTGAACTTTATTTTCCCATTATAATTATATGTACATTCAGCGGCAAAGCCGGGTACAAACTGTTCCCGACATCTTTAGTTCTTGAAATAAGGACTCATTTTAAAACGGAAACGTTAAACAACCGGTGGTATATTGTATGGCGAAACTGAACGCTTTCAAGAATATAGAATAGATCTTAGATTAAATTTGCCATTGGCTTTACGAAAGGACTACCTGAGATCAGAAATATTTTTAGAAGAGAAACACTTTTGAAATGTTTAATAGACCTTTTTACCGATACGGCGGCCATATTGCATTTATTAGATTTAAGGAGTATTATGGGATGCCCTGGGGGAACTCGCTCAGTATTTGCGCGCTTTTCGGGCGAAAAGAGAACTTCAATGTATATTTCTCGGGAAAAAGGCGATCATTATTACATCCAAACACTGCACAACAATCTTTTTTTCCCATAACAATCTTTTTCTAGGAAATCTAAAAGAAAAATTGACCAGCGTAAATACTGACCGAGTCCATATCGGATCAAGCTCATGCCCCCTGGGCATCCAATAATACTCCTTAATCTTATTAATTCAATATGGCCGCCGTATCGGTAAAAAGGTCTAGTAAATTTTCAACTTCATTTCTGAATTTTGCAGCTAAATTCAAAATGTTACGCTCTTTCCGTTAGAATTCACCTCATTCGAAAACGTTTTTACACTCGTCGCCATTAGCTCAACAAACTCGCCTTGTCAAATCGCCGCATCATATTTCAAACTCGACCTCATATATTTCAACCCAACTTTTGAATTTTCGTTACGCTTCAAGCCTTTTCGGGGATGGGAGATGGCGACCGATTGATCTCCTCCCCCGGCCCTTTCTGCTTTTTCGTCCATCATCCTAGTTGGTAGGCAACACTCGACTTCTACTTCATGCCAAAATGTAAACACCCTCACGAGGCCAGTGAAAATAAAATCGAAGGAGCAATCACCAAGGAGCAATGCAACCTTATTTTTATTATCAGCCTGGCCCGGATTGCTCGAAGCATGGTTAGTGCTAACCAGCGTTAAATACCATGGAAACCTGTACATTTTGATACCTCTTAACCAACGGTTAGCTCTAACCAGGCTTCGAGCAACCGGCCCCTGATCATAAACGGGGGAAGAAGAAATTACCTCGCCATTCGATTCCCGGATTAGGTCGCAGATCTCAAAATGATTAGTTCGTTAGTTAGGAAAGCTCTTCTGTTTCACTAAAAATTATCAAATGGAATTTTTCATTTGCACTGTAACATAGTTTCATTTCATTTTTCTGTCCGTAAGTTACCCAAAAAGGAGAATCTTGTTAAGCAAGCAATCTGCTTTTCGTAGAAAACAAGACTTAAAAAAGTCCGGTTTTGCGAACTTTAAATTTACTCTTACAATTATATCTACTATGATGAATAATTTCTAGTATAACTATTATTTATAAATATATGATAAGTAAAATCATAATTTATGAACGTGGAGTTCGGCACGGCAGTAGCGCGGCGAAGTTCGCTGTGTTTGGGTGGATTTCCACTGTCGCGTAATCTGTACTTGCGCATGTACGTTAATTTTACGCGCGTAAATAAAATGGAGGCAGCGCATGGAAGGTCGCATGTGAACGCAAAAGTTGAAACTCTCTCTCAACTTTAATGTTTACGCGCGGCCTCTATTTTACTCACGCGCTTATAGTTTACGTACGTACGCTCGTAAAAATTATCCGACAGTGGAAATCCACCCTCATAAGGGGCGCAGTAACACTCTTTAGTTTCAAACGTCGTGTTGCCCGGTCTTGACAGATCCGGCACGTTAATAGCATGCCAGGCGCTTGAGACAGGCCTGAGTTTGCACCGGATCAAAGTGACGAGAATTCTTTTTGCTTTCTTTTGTCGGGGTTTGAGGGAGGGATTCAAATTTGGAAAAACAAGCTGAAAGCCGAGCTTTATTCCAGATATGACACCCCATACTATTCAAACACTTCCAGTTAGGTAAAACTGAATCTTGACTCTCCGCCATCTCAGCTATAAACCGAGTTTTAATCGTAGAGATCTGAATTTTCAGTTAATCAGTCTCTCGTTTCTTCCCCACCTCAAAAACGTTGCCTTTTATATTCCGTGTTCCTGGAGCCAATGGTCCTATCCACTTATTTATCAAATACTTAAGTGTCGTACACAACTACCAAGGGAAAGTTAGCCACGACTTCGTAGCGTCGAATAAGGCACATTGTAAAATCTGTCTTCATCTTTTATGTTTTATCTTTAACAGGAAGCAGAGTTCAAATGGGATCCAGAGTTAAAAGGTATCAGAATATAATTTGCCTACCGTACGCAATACTCGATAATTTTCCGTAGATTCACAAACTGCAACTTATAAATGTGTATATTCGGTAACAGTTACTTAAGATAGCTCGTATCGACGCATAAGATGGCTTTTATCCATCTTTGTATTGAGTGGAACTCAAGGTAATCCCCGTATCATTAAAACCTTTTTAAGCATCTGAGAAAGAAGAGAAAATGGGGAACCTGCTCTTCCCTCGCCTCACTTTCCTCGCATTTTTTGCGCTCTCGCTTCGTTGGCGCGTTAAGGCTTACAATAGTTACAACCACGAGATTAATTATCATGAATGCCTAGAACAATTGTGTTTCTAGAGTGTTTCAAATAATGACTTAAAACGGCTAATGATAAGAAAACACAAGATCGCCAGACTGAAACGAAAACGCACACAGAGAAACCCTGCATTGTGAGATTCAGCATAATTTGATTTGACTGAGAAGTGAGCGAACAGTAGAAGTATTATTTAATTTAGTTGAAATTATTTATAGTTTCTACGTGCTTTTATCCTACAGTCATTGTTAGATGAAGGGTCATTATTCTGTACTGTCTCTTCGCTTTCTCCAGACCCTCCAAACGTTGTCTGAGTCTCTTCCTTTGCCAGGTATAATCCTCGGTGCATTTTATTACGGTTACATGGTGTTCCAGATTCCTGGTGGATGGCTGGCCTTACGGCTGGGCGGGGCACGTCTTTTTGGAGCTGCGGTGCTTGTAGCATCAGTGTTTACCTTGATGACTCCTTTTGCGACCAGATGGAGCCCAGTTGCTTTGATTTTACTAAGGATATTAGAAGGACTAGTGCTTGTAAGTGTACTCTATACTGAGAAGAAACGATGTGACCACAACAAGACATCTTATATTTACCGTTTAGAGAGAGAGAGAGAGAGAGAAAAGTTTCATGAAAGGCTACTACCTTTTGCGCCCGACTTTACGCTAACACTTTGCACAAAAACTGTTCCAATTTTAACCAAGAAAATACCTTAGGGTCGGGTGAAATTAACAAGAGTTTAAAATGAAACTATGCTGACTCTATCAAGGCATCTCCACCCGATACTCAAGAAATGCCGTGTTTGCTATTATATAAATCTTTATTTAATGGAATAAACAGCAGCGGTAGTTGCTTTTAATATAGTATTTCAATTATGACAGCGCGCTTATTCAAACCTGAATGTAAACAAATTAACAAATTTTAACAAACTATGCTGGCCCTCCCTCCACTTATACTTGCGAGGCAAGAAACGCCATATTTGCGGTCATGTGATACATCCCTATTTAATGGCAATTTACAGCAGGGGTAGTAGCTTTTATAGAGCATTCTAATCATTACTCACTTCTTTCAGTGCGCTTATTCACACCTGAATGTAAGCAAATTTCTGCCTTGTGATATAATATGGACGTTGGTACTAAGTGACAGCTCCTAGAATACACCGTCAGCCGAGCAACTAAGCGATCCAGTGTGCATCGCAACTTAAAGGCACTTTCATACAATTTTACTTTCACTTTAAAATATCCGCGAAAGCAATGGTGGGAGTGTCCATGCAAAGAAATGGGTAGAACCGGACTGCTGATTCTCCATTTGTCAGAACTGACCAGCCAGACCATTCCCGTCGCTAAAAGAATTTCCTTTTTAATCAAAACCCTCCAGCCAGATCAGTCAAATCCTATATAGTATGCACCAAAGAGCTGGTTTTTCAGCAAGACTCTTGGAGAACGCCTATTTCATTTTCAAACTGACTGGTCAGGCAATGGTCCGGCCGGCCAGTTCTGACAAACGGAAAGCGCCCTAACAAAAACGTTCAGGTTCAGTTAGTACTTTCTAATGTTACTGTACTATTAGAGTAATGAACTGTTCGGTCTCCTCATTGAATTACTTCCTTTCTATCACAGTAAGACGTGTTGCATATATGTTTCTTAGGGTGTCTTATTCCCATGTAACCACGCCATCTGGAGTCGCTGGGCGCCTTCTGCTGAGAGGACAACATTAGTAACTGTGTCCATTACAGGTGTGTGTTTTGCTCAATGATCACTCGTCATAACAGCCATTATTAAAGAAGCTGGGTCCAAAGTTAGTTAGTGAGAACTGACCATCAAATTGAGCAAAACAACCTGGAAATAATCGTAGAACAACGAAAACAGATTTATTAAATAACACAATCATGCAGTTCAGCTAACAGAAAAGAAGGAAGAAAAGAAGGTTAAAAGAAGATTAAAGCGGATTACAACTGTTTGTTCTCATATAACGAGCCAGCAACAGTTTGGTAGGCTAGCAACAAATCTTGACAGAATAAAAACAGGAGAGAAAAAAAGTAATAAAAATATAAATAAATAAAAAAAATAGTGAAAAAATCCCCTTCCATAGCTTGCTGGAAAGTAGTCGTTTAAGTTTCATGACATTTAAAATCTGTCTGTTTTTTGCATTTCTGTTAGGAGCTAGCACTGGATATTTACTCACCATGCCTATTTCCGGTCTATTGACCAAATATGGTTTTGACGGAGGCTGGGCCTCTGTTTTTTACTGCTTTGGTAAGCATTGATTATTCTCACAGCCACCCCAGGCTCCTTGGAGGGCTGCAGTTTAATTAATCCAAAATTAATCGATTTAGGGGAAAACATGACATAATAATCTCTTAAGGGTATTTTCAGTACTCTCACTTGTGACAAGACAACAACATCGATAAACTATATCTAGTTAATTTTGGTATTTGGTTTTTTTTGAAATTTTGAAATTGTAAGGTTAAAGTTTTCAAAAGAAACAGTCTGTTTTTCAGCTCTAGAAACTAGCTTACACAGCGTTATTTGTTATTTATAAAGAATATGGTATAAATATCGTTCTGACCAAGCATATTAAGGTCATTATGGCTAGATATTCAGATATTGGCCAAGTTGTTGCTGGTTTTTTTTGCATTGTTATTTCTAGCCATCTTGACGCGAAAAGTTTGGTCAAAAACGGATTTCCTATGTGATCAAAGACAACCTTTTCGTCGTAAAATATCTTATTTAATCTTGTTCTTGGAACTAGCCATGTCAAAGAATAATGACCACTATTAATAATAGTTTGTATGACATTGTGGTTAGTACTCAATTTGCCTAAATTTGCGTGACACTGCCCCGTTTAATTGATTTAATTTCTTCCTTTACCAGGAGTTTTTGGTATTGTGTGGTACACTGCCTGGATAGTAGTAGTGTATGATTCACCCTCGGTGCATCCCACAATATCCGATGAAGAGAAAACATTAATACAAGCCACTGCTCTGGATCTTTCTAAGGTAGCGAAAGTAATATTGACAAAACTTTGAGCCACTTGTAAAGAGGCCGAGCGATGCTGAAAAACGTTCTAAGCTGAAGAGGTTAAAGTAGACTGCGTGTCGGGTGCGTTAATTAATTTGTTTAGTATTTAAAGAGCGCCTGAGGGAAACACGCGAAGACGGAAAGAGGCGGCTCTCCTTTTCTCCCCTCATGCCCTGTCAATAATCTCGTGCCCAGATCTCTTGTCGACGAAGCCAAAGGCGAGATCTGGTCAAATCGCATTTGTACCCGTGATCGTCAGGAATGTGACAGGCGATGAAAGAGAGAATGCTTGAAATATATCCTCAAACTGGCGGCCGTGTTTCGACGTGTTTTAAAAACAACGAATTTGATAGAGCCGTGAAGTTTTCTCTAACAAAACTTTGTTATACGTACTGCTCAAGCATGAACCAACTAATTTGTTGTTGTTGTTCAGTGAAACATTAAATGTAACGCGGCAATTAGTTTAAAATAAATTATCATGGCGCGCGCAAAAAGCTTAAAGCAGTTCGCGTCAACTTCTACAAGACATTTTTTTTACCCTTTTCAAAATTATCTTGAAACCGAGAGAAAGTTTTAAAAAGTCTTCAATGCAAAGATAAGATTAAAACGGTTTTACAAGACGAAAAATTACTTCCTCGGTGAATTTATTTGAACAGGAGAGCTGAAGACTTTGCAAAAGGCCCACGTCAAAGCGCGCACAGAAGTCAACACTCACGTCATTCGCTCACAATCTAGCCGATCAAAATAATTTTTCTTACTTGACCAGATCTCTCCTTTGGCTTTGTCAACAGAGATTTGGGTACGAGATTGCCCTGTCGAGCGTAAGGGGACTTAAGAGAACCCACGCTGCTAGTCAAAGAGAGTAGGGGGCGCAGATCCTGGTGATATGGGCTATCTCTTATATGTTCTATCTTTCTCATGAGTGTAGGGAACGAACTGTCAACACCGGTCGGCAGTAATTGGCTTCATGTTGTTGCAATGACCCTAAATACTAAACAACAACAACAACAACAAAAAACAAAACAAAAAGACAGTGCGGCTATGGAAGTCCTGGCTGTGGAACGATGCCACAGTTTGCACATAAAGGTGAAATGCAGTGCTCTAAAAAATATACGTTTACCTAAAACGAGTTTCAAAACGTATCGTTTTGTTGTATAGTCAATAAAATATTGGGGTATTTAAAAAACTGGATAAGAGATTGTGGATGAAGTCTTAGGGCACGTTTTCTTGGTTTACCCGTATTTCAGGTTGATACGCTTCTTATTCCTTGGAAATCAATTCTTACGTCACCACCAGTATGGGGAATAGTAGCCGCTAACTTTGCACTTGACTGGGCATTTTATGTTTTACTTATATCGATGCCAATTTTTCTGTTAGATGTCATGAAAACATCCATCACTAAGGTAAATATGTTAAGTCATATAACTGGCTCTGTCTATAATTCCACTTCATATACATGTATAACAGAGAGAGGTATAGCCTGAGAAAAACAGCCGACATTTTGCGACTCCACCAGCGGTTTCCCGGCGAAAAGAGAACAGAGGAACGGGCGCATAAATTCCATACTGATGACGAGTCACTACCCTAATCTGGGTGGTGCTTCTGATTGGTCGACGCAAATTTCCCTCGCAACACGTCCAATCTAAAACATTACTCGGATATGCGTGTCACAGTCAACTATCTCTTAGACAGACAGCATTGGGACAGCTACCTTAAATATCCGTCTTAGAGAGATACCCACTGTAACTATATACAGAGAACAGAGTAGTAGAAAAACGAACGGCGACGCTACACGAAAGACTCGAAGCTCACATCTTTTAGGGAATCACAAGGCTTCAATCGGTCTCAACGATTGAAATACACTTTACAGTACGACTTCTCTGATTGATACACATTTAATGTAACACGCACTGATACGATACGTCTCATCCGTCTTTTCAGAAAGACTAACAAAGAAAGGGTCTAAAGATCGGGAGATCCTGCACCTCTTATTTCACTGGTCCCCTTTAATCTGCACTTCCATTGTTTTCAGGGATAGGGGCATTGTTATGTGACAATCCCTATTGTTTTCCCAGCTTGTCAAAAACAGTCTTTCAAATAGGTGCAGGTCTACTGTAAAGATCAACAGACTAATTTAGGCGTCAGTTTCAAGAAGGTATCGGTCCGAAAGAAGAATCTGTTTAAAGACGAGTTGCCGACCGCATAATTATGTTGTGCTTTTATCCTTGCTTCAAATTACTTTCCCCCTTGTTGTTAGGTGTGGAAATATATGAAAGTGAGCTTCAAGAGAGGATAAAAATACACTTTTAAGCCAAAGATAAAATTGAACCACAGAGCATATAAACACAGAATCTAAAGGCCGGCCGCGTGATTGAGTAGTTGTATATAAAGAATAAAGCTTGAAAAATAGGTTTCACTGGGGCTTTGAAACGAAGCCTGTACAAGAGCGAATTTCAACTGACTAAGTTGCAAATGCTCTACTTCATTAATATATTGATTTTAAATCAATTTTGGTATTCAGTCAAAATATTTGTTTGTTATGTATGGAATATCGGCTCTAATAGAGCTTGAGCTATCACGGGTATAATTAAAGTAAACTGACGTTTTGTTTTCTTACGTACTTTTGCTTTTGCCTTTGCACAAAACTGATTGATCCGAAAGAGAATGGCTTAGATATTTTTAGATATTTGACATTAAATTGAACTACGAAATTGTTTTACTGCTTTGCCGGGGGTGATGTCTGATTTCTGATAAAACAATGCATTTTCCTCTGATTTAGATGGGTTTCTTAGCTGCGGCGCCTTTCCTTGTTAAAGGTGTGTGTTCTCCCATGTCAGGATTAGCAGCAGATATTCTAAGGAAGAGCACAGTATCAACAACAGCTGTTAGGAAAATATTTTATGCTGCTGGTACGTAACTTAGAACTTAAAAAATTTGAGAGGGATGTTAAATTTATACAAACGGTTTTATGCGCTATGTATGAGTTATTTAGCAGGCGTAAGGTCAAGGATGTCTCAGATGTCTGGGCCCGGTTGCATAAAACCTGCACTTAAGTGCTCACTTAAGTAGGTCACTTACGAATCCGTTATGGGGACACTTACGGGTGTTGCATGGAACGCACTTAGCACTCTCGTAAGTTTCTGTTTTACGTGGTAACTTACGGGCTCACTTAAGGGCACAGGTAACTTTGATATAGTACCTTATCAGTGACCCACTCTATTTTTTTTAAGCTAACCATCGATGGGTGTAAAGAAATTAGCTGGTCGTTTCGAACACTGTTGAGCCTCTGTTAGATGATAAATTCAGCCGGTTGAGATAACGTTTTATATAGACAGAAAAAAGTGTGTCATCATTTAACCAAAAAAAACTTATTCGACCGAGAACTTTCGACATAATAAAAAATAGTTTCTTAATGTAATTTCTGCGCAGGTTCTAAACTACTTGTTAATGTTAAGTTTTCGTCTAAACAACTGCAACTTAAGATCAAGCGGCTGTTCCTTCTTTTTTAGAATTCTCATTTTGACGCATGCTCTCCTTTTAAATGCTCTTCATATATCTTCTTAATGCTCCTTCCTTTCTCTATGTCCTTGTTCCCTAACAGAGTCGGAATCAGGTACAGTTTGGTTATTTTGTTTGTTCTTCCCTTAAACGGCTTTCTTCTTACTCCTTCTCCGAAGTTCTCTAGCCACTTTCTAGTTCAACCACCCTGTCTGGGCGAACTGGAAGGTAAGATGAAGTTGACGATAGGCTGTATTTCTCAATGGCGCCACTTGAAGCATCAAGGGTGTGTTCTCTGGCTTGGATATTATCCCCAGAGTCTATTCCACCAACTATGGATACGAGGTAGGGATTTTCTTTTCCGAGTATCTCGGTGATTAGCTCGTCACCATCAGTCCACTCTATTGCACCTGCACCCCAGTCTTCTTTCGTTTGGCGTATTTGGCTTTAGTGGCTGACGACAAGTCCTCCCATTTCTTTTTAAGTTGTTCCTTGGTTCTTGGTGGGAACCCGGCGGCTATACTAGCTGTGTGTAGTGCAGGTACGAATCCTAATTTGGGTGCCAATCTCCAACCATGTTTGCATTTTCAATATAAATGTCAGTGTAGGAGATAAAGTACCGAATAGAGTCATCTTTCTCCTTTTTACCTCATGGAGGAAAAAATTATGATTTTATCCGTCTTAAAATTCGGCGCTCTTTTTCTGGGGTTAGAGCCTTGTTCATCTTCAGAATTCCGTTTCATTGACATCCTAGAAATGTAGAAATGTTTTTCTAAACGATGATGAAGAAGAAGCTACGGGCGACAGCAGCAATGTTGATGAAGGGTACCAAGACGACATTAATGAAACTGAAGAGGGTCGAAAAAAACGTTAGGAATTTGTTCGTTGTTTTTTTCATAATCCTTATAATCTATTGAAGCTGATGACAGTTTTAAAATGTTTTCAGATCATTCAGCAAAGAAGATTGACATTTTAATATCCTATGAGTGCAACTCATCAAGTCCGTTGACTTTCGTTGAAATACGTTTGCATGCTATCGTTATTTTACAAGAATATTTACTGATAATGTTTGTTGCATGTTCTACTTTTTTTTTCTGAAAGACGGCTTTAAATAAAGTGAGCCTCAGAGGTTAAAAAAGCGCATTAGAACGGAATTACTTAAATAAAAAACTTTTTTTTCACTTCTCAGTGAAAGATCTCGTTAACTTTAGTAGAAACAGTAAGGATACGGGACCTACATAGGTCCCGTAAATTTACGTGCCATTTTTCCCGTAAAAAAGGTTTTATGCAACACCCGCAATTTCTGTTGCATAAATGACACTTAAGTGAATACTTACGAAAATCGTAAGTGCAGTCACTTAAGTGAAATCCCTAAGTGGACCACGTAAGTGATTTAATGCAACTCACTTAAGTTACGAGTACACGTACGTATACCCGCAACTGTTACGGGCGTTTTATGCAACCGGGCCCTGGATATTAGCCAAGTTCTTTTTTGCGTGAAGTCGATGTAAAAACGCAAAAAAGAACGAGGCCAATGTACAGACATCTTGACCGATATGGGATTGTTAAATGGCCAAAAAAGAACTTTTTCTCGCGGGATGAACACAAGATTGACATAAGAAATCCAATCAGGACGCAGGTTTCGCTTCATCTTGCCCGCTTGCAGATTCAGTCATATGATAACGTCATCTTATTGTCAGCAAAATCCTGAAAGCACAGTTATGGCTGAGTAGACAGAGCGGTAGCTGGACTTGCAATTGATTGCATGCAATTTATTATGATATGTGTGGATCCACTAGAAGTAGTATTCTATTCGTATACTCTGACTCTTAGATGCAGCGAACTTAGAGATCAGCCTGTGTATTGTAAGTGTCGTGGCTTACAAGTAGTTAAAAGAGAAGAACATTACAGACTCGTCAGCCCCAAAAGTGGTCCTGGTTGCTTACGACGGGTTTCAGGACTTTTACTGGGCAAGTTTTGATGTTTAGGTGATCGCTTATTGGAGGTAGTCGGGCGCACATCAAGGTTCGAATGTAACACAATCCAACTTGGGACGGTATCGAAAGCGTTATAGAAATTAAACTCATTTTATTCTTTGTAATATAGGGAATTCTAGCTTTGCATTCGGCTTTCGTATGATCTCGGATAACGTTATCCACCTCGGCCGTCCTCGATCCGCATAAATCTTCACATCATACTCAGATTTTTAATCAGATTTTCTCGTTCTTTCATTACAGGCGCGATAGCGAGTGGATTGTTAGTCCTGATAGCTGGCTATTCTTTAAACGTCACAGTTGTGGTCGTCTGTATGAGCCTCGCTGGTATGACGACGTCACTAGCATACCCAGCATACACTGTGAACATGCTGGACATTGCTCCGCGATACGCCAGTATCATCATGGGCATCTGCAACACAATCGGCACCACTGCTGGCTTCGTTAGTCCAACTGTTGTAGGTTTTATCACGCAACATCAGGTTGGTATTTCTCAATCTCCTTCCAGGGTTCTTTCCTACTCGTTCTTGCGGAGCCCCTGGAAAACTTTAGTCAAGAGGGGAGGGTGGAAGGCCGGGGCAGATTGTTTATTCCTGGAAGTACCCAGTAGGGCCATGTCTCAATAACCTTGTCGCCGTTGAGGGTAAAATAGTAACCACTGACGTAGTTTGTCTAGTTTCATATCATCAGAAGTAAAAAAGAATGATGCTGAAAGAAGACCAATTTATTTAGATGTAAATTAGTTGTGCCAAGGAGCTCAGAATTTGATAGGTTTATAGCATGGGGTTTGCTACCATTACAGATAAGGCATGTCCATGCATCTAATGCGGACCTATTAACTGACTCAGCATTTGAGTCGATGTCTGAGTCTTCGATATAACCTGAGATCAGGCCCAATTTTAGCAGGTATCACACATTCTATCTTACCCGCGGAAATGTTATTCAAATAGCAAAACGATAATTGATACTGCCGACACATCCACTTTACCTATTTGGTATCAAAGTTACTTTAGAAACTGACCCCTTATTAACCAATTTTTTTTTTATTTTAGCCTAACGTTTTCACTAAGTAAGCCTTCTGCCTTCTCTTACAGTCTGCAAAAGAATGGCAAGGGGTGTTCTGGATAACATTTGCGATTCTACTAGCGGGAACTGTACTTTTTTGCCTGTTTATGTCTGGAGAACGTCAAGAGTGGGATAAAACTGAAATGCAAAAAGCTGCAGATGATACGGTGGAATCACAAGCTGAAACTCCGGCGAATTGAGGAATCTTCACTGCGCATACTTAGGCCTAATATCCTTTCTTGTCTACACAATTTGTTTACGCAGAAATTGCGCCCAAAATCACTGTTCGTTTGGTTTTCGTGCCGGTGCAAGAACTCTCCGTCATAGTGTGAACATGACCTAAAATGATCTAAGATGATATCTCAATGTACAGTTTTCATTAACAGTTTTCTGACAGTTTTACAAATTTTCACCAAGAAAATCGGCAATGGATGGCCTATAAGACACTATAATTGTAGTCGATCTACAAATAATTCCGATTTAATAGGCAGATTAATTGGTACGAATAACGTAAAATTTTTTTATGAGTCTGTACATGTTTTGAAAACGTTTTGCCTACGATATTCTTTTTTTTATTGTCTTCTCCCTATTAGTTATGACTGTTTTGAGTGTTGAGACATACGTTACGTGATTAAATGCCTAAACCGCCTTTTGAGCGAAAGGGAGTGACTTATAGATCCAGGAGCCTCCTGCTAGATCATTATAATTTATTCTCTGTGCCTTGTAAGTTTATTGGGTGGATTCATTTGTACTATAGTTAATAGAGTGGAATACCATAAAATTCCGAAAATAACCCCCGGGGCTTATAGTTTTCAAGGGCCCTTTTTCAGGGGCTTATTTTTGAAGGGGCTCATATTCGGAGCGGCTTATCTACGAAGGGAAATTTGCGTTGCAAAATCGATTGTGCTAGCCTTATAGTTGGAAGTAAATTTATCGTTTTTGCTTTGTTTCACTTTTGGGGGCAATTTTTCAAGTACAAGCCCCTGGAGGGCTTATATTTGGAGGGGCGATTTAACGGAGGGTTTTTTGCGTTACCGGTTTGGGGGGTTTATATTTGGAGGGGATTATACATGGAGGGGCTTATTTTTAGAATTTTACGCTATATGGTTATGAAGCCCGTCAGATTTCTTTGTTATATGACTCATTATGTTTTGTTTTTATAGATTTTTCGGAATTAACGGTGCACAACTTTCAGTTACTAACCAGTGAAAAATGTCGCATTAATTTATTCTGTCACAATTTTTGAAATTAAAACAAAGGATTGTGCACAGTCATGGAGCTTCCAACATAAACTACAGCACTGTTATTTTTATCTTCAGTTTGATGTTTACTGTCTTTCATAACCAGTCTCCTCAACTAATGAAGCAAAAGAAAACGTTTTCCTTATTTGCACAACCTGATGATATGAGAAGACAGTTAACCAAAATATCTGCAAACCCGAGGGCGAATTGAATTGAACTGAGTTAAGAATTTTCCTTTTGTTCATAACTTAAAAAAAAAAACAACTGAAAAATCCAACGAGCAAATGGTGTTTTCCCCTGCTCGAAAAGGTGCAAATGAATCCAGCCAATTTATTTTGTTTCCTCACAAATCCTACCCGTATATAACGTTTTCCCATGACGTCACGGCAGCCACATTTGTGTCCCAAAACAATAGAACTGCGCCATGTTGAGCGCCTAACCAATCCTGTGGGAATTTGATCTCTTCTATTGTAAACGCTTTGAATTCTTTTGTTCCAAATACATTTGCATAGATGGTGGCCGCGTGGATGAAAATGCGTTATTTGCTGGTGGGTCGTTGGTTGGTTGGGATGTTAGTAAAATAAGGAACGGGGAATGGGAAAAGGGAAAATGAAAAATGGGAAGAAAACCTAAGTTCTTCACACGAAGGAATTTTTCACCGGCTGAAAAATTTGACAAAACACTTCGTTCAAACGAAAAACAAAATTTTCTCTCTGTACACAAGAAACGCTTTTCATAGCCTGCGAGCAAGCTCCCCTATTTTAGTTTTGTGCGAGAGAGCGCGTGAGCGAGCGGTGAAGCCGCGAGGGGCCGAGGGAAGAAGAGCTTGAAAAGATCTCTCATACATTTTCATTTGTACTTCGCCCAGACGGAGGAAACTACCATTGGCTGAATAATGACGTTCCAGAAATCAAAGTTGATTGATAAGAGGCCTAGGTTGCCTGCCCTAAATTTTCGCGGCAAATGTAGAAACACGATGTTCTTATCGCCAACACCCGTCTTATGTTGGCGATCGCAGAACTCAGTGAACTCACTCCGTAAAAGAAGACAGGCAGGGGAAGAAAATCTCTCTCACTCTCTCTCCTTGATTCTGTGAGAGATAACTGTCGTCTCTGTGTCAAATTTGGTTCTCAGGGGGATCATATTGGAACCGAGAACTTGTTTCTGCCAAGCGCTCGTGTGATGTAAGCTTAGAATATTGCGAGCAGAGGATAAGTCGGGCCGAGTTTGTAGTTCTTGTGAAAGGAAAATCAGAACCCTTGATCAGTTGTATTGATCTCGTTTGAGTCAAGCGCCTTGTTCAGTTCTGAAAACGAGAAGAGTCAGAAAGTGAAGAGAAAGTCAAGCGCCCGATTCAAGCGCTGTCTTCCAGCTTCCCTTCGCCCGATTGAATTCCACTGGGTAGAAAAATTCAGTGACATGTACATTACAGCGTAGCTGACGAAGAATTAGCAGTTGACCGTCAAGAAAGACAATAAAAGGAGTAGCTAAGGAAGCAACTGTAGTAATACGTAAAGAACCAAGTCCAGGAAAAAGCTGTTCTCCAGTTGGTTATTGCGACAGGGAGCTTACTAGTCTTCTGAATGTAGACGACTTTTCAGATGTAAACAAAACGAGAATCAAAATATTGAGCTCTTATCCGATCGGACATGTTGACGTTCGTTTTTCAGTGGATAAAAGAAAAAATATTAGTGGTAAAAAACGTTGTTTTGATGCGGCTCATGTTTGCGGTAACAGTTTTCACGCTTTGCGGTGTCCCGCGGTTTTCGGGGTGGAAATGAAAATTTATCAAAAAAGATCGTTGCAAGCTCTCCTTTCTCTCCCCCACCCCCCGCTTTCGCGTCTTCTCTCGAGCATCAAATTTTCACGATATCCCCAAATGGAGAGGTTTCTCGCAGGCAAACATGGAACTGACGAACCAGATTGAATTGTAGCTTTTTTCCGAAGTTTCACTATTTGCTCATGGGCGGCCTGTTACTTAAGCAAATCCAGAAAACGTCTTCCAGCTAATTTACCTCGCATCCATGCAACCACCCCTTTGCCGTACAAAATTTTGGACGGTTCACACCTGGTCGGCCAAATTTTCCGTACCCAAATTTAGACGGTCATGGTGTTCACATTGAGCCGGTCGAATTCTCAACCGAACCGGTTAAAAATTTGACCTCCATTTTAGCGTTCGATTTTTTGAACGGCTAGGCGTTCACATTTTCGTACGGCTAGCTTTGTTCCTTGTGAACAGAACACCTGAATGTACGCGGAATTTTCGACCGCTCGAAATTTCGTCCGGTTCTGTGTGAACGTAGCCTAGACGTGTGAATTTTTCTTACGGCTAGCTTGGTTCCGTGTTTGCTGTTGAATTAGCCAATTCTTCAATGTTCACTGTTTCCGGAGAAATACTGTTTTGTGTTTTGAGGGTTTTTGTTAAAAAATAGTATCTGGACACTATAAAAATACTTGATATCTTTCACAGGCGAAATTAACGACGAAAATATAGTCGAAAATGTTCGGACTTTTCGTTGGAAATCTTTGGCAGTCTTCGGTCATGATCGGAAATCTTCGCCAGCTTTTGAGAATCTTCGGTAGTCTTCGACAATCTTCTGAAAGAATCGGAAAACGTTGGAGAATAGCCAAAAACTCTTTGATGTACTAAACAAAATAATACTGGCCCTTTTGGAGCTGTCTTTGTTTCTTTTTGGAAAGAATTTACTGTCACGGTGAGTTTTTCAATACTGCTAGTGTTAAAATGCCTATACCTTAACTGTTTCATGTTACAGAGCCAGAAAATTAAGTGATTGGTGCTGTCGGAGTACCCCCATTCAGATCCTCTTACACTGGTCAAAAATTTCGTCCGCTGCCGTGTTAAAGTAGCCTTAACCGTAGACCTATCAGTAACTTCATTTATTACCCTTTCTCTGTTTTGTTCCCATTTTCCATTTTTCCGTTCCCTGTGCTCGTTCCCTGCTCCCCGTTTTCGCTATCATGGCTTAACCTTTATGGGTTTTTGTAAACAAATAGTTTAAATATAGACCGCATTACTTGTATGTTCTGTTTAAGCCATGTAGGTCATGTGATGTTTCCAAGGGAATTTGCCCTTTTTAAAAATTATGCGTACTTACGCACCTGTATAAGTCGAAATTTCAAAGAAATAGTTATTTAGAATAATCTCTTGACCCAGATTGAGAAAACAACAAGTAAAATTTAAAGAGTTGTTCTATGTATTAACTAAACAAGACTACAATAGGTAAGTTTTTTTATATTTTACGATAAATTCTTCTTGAGATGATCAAAGAAGCACTTTTAGGCAGGATATTGGCTGATGCTTAGCCTGAATTCTGTTAATATTCTAGACTATCAGGACTATCACTTATCTTAAACATAAAAAAAATACCCCGAAACCTAGCCCGAACCCGGGCTGGAAGACTTGGGAATCTGACATTTTCCGTCTGCCGTAAAGGCAATGGTACTCCCTCAAATAATGATATTTGTAGGAATCCCTAAGTGTTTCAGATAACTGCCAACGTAATGTTTAATTCATCGTAAGAAAATAAACACAGGTAGATAACAGAAGAAAGTATTATTATTATTGTGTTATCGGGTTATCCCTTTGGTTGTATTTGTAGCATCACTTTATGATCCAAAAAGGGTCGTTGCTTTATAAAGCAAACATAAGGTCCGTGAATGAAACGAAAGGTACGGAACTTTTAGGAGCTGAAGAATTGCAATCTTTAAAGTCCATGCCAAAGTACCTGTTATAAAATGTAATTTAATTTTAAGGACAGGTAAAACAATGAAAGGAGGAAAACAAGTTTGCATTCTTTAACCAACGTATCTTGTTTCAGCCGTGTCGAAACCTGTGAGATTACTGAAAAATGAGTTTAAACGGGGTGCCGAAGAGATATGTTCTGTCAATCCTAATCTTCTGGGGATTTTTTACCATGTACGCACTGCGGACCAATATTAATGTGGCCATCGGCGCGATGGTCAAAAATCACACAGTGTTCAAGGATGGAAAGGAAATCGAGACGGTAGGAAAATTAAATGAACGAACAACAGTTGTAAGAATATTCACCGCTGCTAAGTTTGTTGGGCAGTATTGAACAAGCTAGTCAAACGAATTTAATTCCTTGCTCCCCACACTCGTCAACAGGTGAAGCGTTGAATGTTCTAGCGTGGTTACACATTGTCAAGGTCAAAACCTGTCAATATCAAGGCGAGGTATTAAATTCGCTTGTCATTAGAAGCAGGTTGCTTTGTTTCTGGTATATTCAAGGTAAAACATAGAGAAATATAGATCATTTTTTCTTTTAAGCGAAATTTAGGACATCATTTCTACTTATTTTAAAACAAAGACCCCAAGCACAGAGAGCGCTCCCCAGCTGAGTATGAGAGTACCGGTGTGGTACAATATTGCGAGTGAATATTTTCTTGCATCTATTATCTAGAGTCCCATACATATCCTTTGCGTTTACGACCATTTTTAGATTACGCAATATTGTCCATAGCATAGCTCCCATACTGGGCTCCCTGTGATCCAACGGGTCAAATTTTGCGTGAGTCTGGAACAGGCTGAAGGCGGGTGTGTTGTGCATGCGTAATACGTACCACGGGAAAGCTAATACATTTGAATCAGCAGTGATCAGTTAGCGTAGACGTTCTTAGGGCGTGCTGGACGAACCAAAAAACGCCCGGTTCCTAAAAGACCGATTAGCGCTAATCCAGGATTAATTTTTTTTCCATTTTCGTAGTTACCTTCCTATGTATTGCTTAGAGGACCATTTTTGTTGTGATTACTGTATCTTGGAGTAAAAGCTCAAAATTATTTTTAGCTCGAGTTGCATGTTCTTAGACAAGAAAATCTTGCTTAAATTTTGGCTTAATCCTCGGTTAAACTTAACCATCTTTCGAGGAACTGGGCCAAGGACGTTAGCTCCTGATACAACAGCGATTTACTCCACCAGGAACTCCGGGCAGGTTATGGGCTCCTCACTCCAATTACTCATCAATCCCGAAAAGGCAGCAAAATTGTTGTTAGAAGATGACGTGGCAGAAAAGAGTAGCTTCCAAAATTTTTCAGCAGTGTTTCTTTCTTTTAACATTGCTCCCATTTCTTTTCAGTTGGCGAAATGATGAAGGAAAAAATGCCAAATTTTTGCTGAATAAATTAGCACCATTTACTTGTTACATTACAGGCTAGAAAAGCATCCTTATAACCTGTTTAAAAAACCGTCTTTTTCGCTTTAAATGTTTATAACCGAAAAGAGTGCCGTGACCACCAATTTCATATTCTCTAATTGTAATCAGCATGTTAGGTTTCAGCTTTTCAAATGACGGGTAAGGGTTCAAAGCTAAGTAAACGCAAAGGTAAAGTAAAAGTGTCTGTGAATCTTATCACACAATTTGAGATAATTGGCAAGAGGCTGTATTTGCCAATAGTTGCCACAATTAAGTATGAACAAAATGAGCGTTACCGGACTTTCAATTATAAACTCTTAAAGCTAAAATTAAGAGCGTGTAAGCGTGTAGTTGTTATGTTTTTACCCGTTTAACTTGTTAACCTATGATTGGGAGCACATGTCATTGTTTTAGAGCATAAACTGGAAAATAGTGGTATTATTAATCCACCCAAGCAGTCCGGAGAAATACTAGAAATGGTTTATTGCGCGACCTTCGAGTTTATAAGAGGTTTAACTGGAGCGGTTTTACTGTTCCCAGCATAGCGTAGAATTAAAAGTGAAGGACGATAATTATGAAAACAAATTGTTTGGTTTTGAACTTTACAGGCAGCAGAATTTAAATGGAGCTCAAGATTACAGGGTAAGTTCCTGTACACTGATCATACAAATAATTTTGATTACATCATAGTTGTTATATTTAAAGGCCCAACCAAAAATCCCTAACAGCGATTAGACTTTCCTTGCCCTGTAGTATAAGGAATCGACTCACTCCTGGATGTGAATTGCAAAAGAAAAACACTTGCCCCACATATCAAAGCAGTAATTTTGCGAGCCATTACATGCGTTTACTTGGGTGGAGAAAATATTAATATATAGATTCAGCCATAGCTAATGAAGAGCGAAGGGTCCATTTATATACTTTTAATTACTGAAAACCAAAACATTAGAACGAATAAGCTGTCACTGGGTAGCAAAAGTTGTTTTTCTCGTTCAAATCCTTCTAATTTTCGGTGGCCGTTGCAATCGCTACTTTCGAGACGTACGGCTGAAAATTTACATGCTACCTAATTTTAATATGCTCTTTCAGCTCGTGCAAACAAACGTTTTCAAAGGCGAACTACTTTCCTGTTTACTAAAAGTTGATCACGTGATCAGCAATTGCAAAAGGCCCATTCAATGGTTTCACTTGTATGCAATAAATAGCAGCAGCTACAACCCACTTTGAAAAGGAGTGGGTCGAAAGTGGGCGCTGCCAGCACTGTGGGAGCCTCGCGAAAAGGTCAAGGTCAACAAGATGTCTTCACTGCCCAATTTATTTTCCGAACGCTGACAAAAGAGAGTGGCAATTGATTCTGATGCCTGTCTTGCTGACTTTTCTTTGACTTAGACCAACCAGAAACTGAAATATATTGCACAGATATATGTCAATCCCACTTGCTGCTTATTGAAAAGACAATTTTCTAAATGAAATCCTTGTTAGAACTAAGATTCTTTCACAGAATTAATTAATAAATAACATACACGGCGTAGTACCCGGGTCAAGCGAAAATTATGCAACTCACTCCCAACTTCCTGTCTCGCTTAACAATGGCATAAATGCCTTTCCTAGTTCCCAAGTGATCACTCTTTTCCAAATTGAGCTGTTATGAACGTAGTTTGTATTTGTGACTGATCAAACTCCTGATCATAAACTTTGTTTTCATTCTAAGTCGTCATTTTCAGAGTGAAAAAATGAAAGGTTTAATGAAATGGTTATTGTTCTTCCAGGTGTGGTTCTTGGTTCTTTTTATTATGGTTACGTAGCACTTCAGATCCCTGGTGGATGGCTTGCTGTTAAACTGGGGGGTACACGTCTATTTGGTCTTGCAGTTCTAATAGCTTCAGTTCTTACAACACTAACCCCTTTAGCCGCTAGGATCAGCGTTCTACTGCTGATAGCTGTCAGAGTTGGCGAGGGACTGGTACTAGTAAGTATCAAGATGCTGTCATCTTTAACTTTATTTGCAAAAAAAATCGGATTAATTGTTTTGGAAGGGTTGTCTAAGGACAACTAAAGTTCGCGTTACCCTCTTCGCTGATACAGAAGTAGTATAGTAAGAATGTTTTTAGACCTCTTTTTCGCTGGTCTCCAACACAAAACCCAACAATGAAGTCCAACCTACCAGCTTAGCCTTGGTGAAAAGTTCCCAACCAACTCCACGGCTTCTCCTAAAAAATTGGCTTATGCCCATGCCTCTTAAACACCGCTGACTGAACTTTGTACAAGCAATCCTCTTATAACCTCTTATGCGCATTTGATCATATTTACATGTATTTTGCGCAGTATAAACATCAAATTATTTTTATTATTATAACCAGAACTAGTTTCTCACTAAAACTATGTATTACTCATTCTACATAATGTGATTGCAGGGAGTGTTGTTTCCTTGTAACCACGCCATATGGAGCAAGTGGGCACCCAGTATGGAGAGAACCACTTTAGTTACAATTGCAGTCACAGGTAAAACACCCCGTAAACCACTCTTAAATTCAACCGTTCCCCTTAATGGCCAATTTCGGTTGTAGTTCTTTTGATGATCAGGTTTTTGTTCATACGCCACTTGCACATCTTCCAAAATGCACCTTATTTGCCGCCCAAAATTTTGCGTAAGCATTGTTTTCAATTTCACTTGAGACGGCTGTAATACCCAGGAGAAATGAAAAACAAAGGTTATGCAGAAATTTGGGGGACAAATAAGGTGCATTATGGCAGACGTGCAAGTGGCGTATTACTTAGTATTTCCTTCATCAAGTAAAGCGAGAGAAAAACGTGTAATAAATAGGATGTTTTGACATAAGAAGTATTTTGGCACCTTAGCCATTCATGCAAAAGTGATAATCGAACCTGGTCTTTTTTATCACTCCGGCCCTAGCATAGTTTCTTTACGTCGAATTAGCCCTTACGGACGGGTTTTTCATTTGTATTAAGTAATGTACACCGTTTATTCGTAAAAATATTCGACCTTAAGTGAAAAGGAAAACGAAATATTTATAACCTAACAAGTGTAGTAATTTTTAAACGTAAAATAGAGAGAATGAATAATCTGTTCTTTTAAGAAGATGCCTGTTAGGACCGGATGAGCGCCTCTTGTAGTAGGTTACTAAAGCGAAAACCGAAATAAATTTAAAATGTCTGCTTTTTGCTTTTAGGTTGCACTGTTGGTAGTATAGTGTCAATGCCAGTCTCTGGTTTATTAACAAGAATCGATTTCGATGGCGGATGGCCAGCAGCGTTTTATACATTTGGTGAGCATTAGTGTTGTTTGGCCAGGAATAAGCCATGATTTTCACGTTGTTTTAATACACACTGGTTTCCCCACCAAATTCTTATAACCACAGCATCCAACTTATCCTGGGTACTGAAAACAATGCTTATGCAAAACATTTGGATGGAAATAAGACGTGTTGTGGGCTATGTTAACGTCGCTCACAGATTGTTCTATTAGGCCTCTCGGGACCTTAAGATGCGACGACGGCGACGACAGCGGGAACTTCAAAACAACAACTTTGCACGTGCATCACGATTTTTTTGTACATTTCTTTGCCGTCACAGCACGAGTACGACGTGAAAATGCCTAATTTCACGTTTTATGGAGGACGTAAACAAGCCACTACGAAATTTTCTTTCTCTTTCTGAACTTGGATATGGTTTTTTAGGAATTCCACTCCAGGAGAGTTCGCCTAAATTTGACAAAGTAAATTAGTTGGAACTGTCGCGATGAAGACTGAATGAACGCAAATTCACTTTTTAGGAGATGTTTTCGCTGCCGTCGCCTTCCTCGGATCTTAAGGTCCCTACTAGCTACAAGGAGGCCGTGTTTACTAGCCTGAGGGTGACACAATGAGCCCGCCTCTCCTTATAGCATGTAAAACAACCTCTTTACTATAAACTTAATCCCAATGTTTCCTAAAACCTGTCGAAAACAATCGAAGAATAAATGAGGCTTCTCAATTCTCTGCTTAACATGAATGAGGATGGAAATATGCGACTTTTATCAACTTTTTGAGGAACATGTCTGACTTACCGACAGGTCACCCACAGTTTACCATGACCAACACTTCGCAAACTGTCGGCCAACAGTCGGGCGATAGATGATGAAAGTTGATAGTGAGCAAGCTCGGTAGACCTGTCGGCCGACCGTCGGTTTTGAGAAGTTGTTCTTCAGAATTACCACCAAGATAGCTGAAGATAACTGGACCCGGCAAAAAGTGAACACTCGGCCATTGAGAGCCTCAAAGATGGCACGTATTGATTATTACATTTTAAGTATGGTGTGTATATTCTTTATCATACAGGAATTTTTGGTATCCTATGGTATGTAGCATGGTATATTTTAGCATTCGAGTCTCCATCCGTTCATCCAACCATATCAGAAGACGAGAAAGCCTACATTGAGTTAAGTGCAATCAATATGGACGAGGTAAGAATCCAAGGCTACTTTGGCCTAAGAAGAAAAGCCCCAAGAATGAAGCACCAAGATAATTAGCAATTATTGGATTCGGCGCGTTCAGCGTGTGTATGATCTGAAGAGTTATGGAGGAGTGTACCTATAACACAGTCCAAGATCTGCAACATTCTCGAGATCATACTTAAGCATAATCCAATAATTGTTTTAAGATCTATTCATAATAATTTCTAGTTTAAAAACAAGCTAAAACAAGCTCTAACCATCAACTTCTTCCTTCTTATTTTTTCCCGCTCTGACTTTGCGCCCAACGCCACTGTTTGAACGCTTGTAACAGGTTATCCTTTGAATGAGATCAGCCCTGACGAAAATAGTGACAATATGATATCGCGTCGGGCAATTTTTGCTTTTTCTAAATTAATGTAAGTTTCTTCCCTCTTTAAGCAGCTCCACGTCCACTGTACTAAATTATTTTGACATTTGACGCAACCTTTACAGGTAGCTCGAGGCACTGTACCATGGGGGGCCATCCTCACGTCACCTCCTGTTTGGGGGATCATAGCAGCTGCGTTTGCTTCAGATTGGGGTTTATACGTGTTACTTATATGCGTACCGCTGTTCCTAATGGACATCTTGCACTACGAAGTTGCAGCAGTAAGTCTGAAATGATTTCTGCGAACTCATTCGTCTCTCATTTTCGGTGTCTAGGGGCGTGCACTTGCGTCAGGGCTAGGCGGCCGATAGTTGGCGTTTTGAAATCAATCCAACAGAGCTGAGCCTGTGCTCCAGTTGAAATGTTCCCCTGAGACAGATAGGTGGTCAGGTTATTTTTCGTCCCTCAAGAATCAAATTAGTGAGAGTGCTGTGAAACAGGACATACCATTTTTCAGTCCTTCTTATCCGAGGACATGTCTGACACAAGCCTAAACAGCCAAAAGCTACATACAGTATATCAGTGTTATTAATTTGAATGTCTTTAGCTTACATACATAAAGGTTCCTAATCAATTTGCGTGTTCTGATGTCACTCTTTTTCGTCCGATATTAACCGGGAGAACTCAATGTTTTCTGTCCATCTTTTTTCTTTTAGATTAACATGTTTCTCTTTCCTTTTTTTTTCAGATGGGTTTTGCCGCTGCCGCTCCGTTTCTCTTTAAATCCTTGTCCTGTCCTATTGGGGGCATAACCGCTGACCTTTTCAGGCGAAGAATTCTTTCGACAAAAACTGTCAGACGTGTGTACTACTCAACAGGTACTGCTCACTGCGCTTTACAGCATCGTTACGCCTAATACTAGTCTCACTCAAAACGCCAAGAACGCTTATGGGAGGTGTTAAGATGCGAGTTCGTCTCGTGCCTAGATCTCCCACGACCAGAGGTCTGGGTGCAACACTTGGACCCCGTGAGTCGGAGAAAGAGGGCCTTATTAAATGGGGTTAACCGTCAGCCGTCAAACGGCCTAAAGTTTAACCGTCAATCGTCAAAAAAGGTTATTTTTTACCGTCAACCGTCAACTATGCAGATTGATATTTCATATTCAATTTATTTCAAATCTCACCCTTTCAGCTGATCTTCACGGGATTTTGGCTCCTGAAGAAACTCTAAACTGGAAAAATCAGTTTCTAGGTTCTCAACAACACTTTTTCTAAACACTACAAAACCTTAGAACTTTGTTATATCCGGAAATATTTTAACATTTTTAAGTGAAAGGCGAAGACAATCGCCAAAACACAAAAGTTATACTTAATTTATACAAAAGTTAAGTGAAATTCACTTATCAAGTGAAAATTTAGTCCAGGGTTTTAACTGTTAACCGTCAAAACTGAAAGACGCTTACTGTCAACTGCGAGCCTTCACCATAGGTCTCAGTTTGCGGGCGCCCAGGCGGGTTTTGAATATCTCACGCATTGCGGTCGCCCCCCTGAGCCCGTACGGGGCCCCCAATAACGCCCGTTGTCCAGCCAACCAGATAAGCGGGCTTTGTAGCTCCTCTCAGCCGAGGCGAGTGCAAAGCACTACTTTAAGTGCCAGATCCACACAACACATATGGTGGCTGTTGGCTGGGATGCAGACGGCAGTTCTCCCACGGCATTACGCAGGGAAGGCATCCTACGGCTATGCCATGCTGATGAGCCCTAACAAGGGCGAAACAGCTGTACGTGGCTGCCACTGCCAGGGTGCTATAGCTGTGCGCATGCGTGAGGAGGTACTGGCTAGGCCGTGGGTAAGTGTATGTGTGCCCCTCGCTTTCAGTTTTTCTTACATACAGGACGCAAAGCCCCATAACTCAATTACTCGGGAACGCAACAGTTTTCAACGCATTTTCGTTTTTTAGGTGCAATCACTGCCGGACTTTTCATTTTAATGGCAGGCTACATAGAAAGTCCCAGTATCGTCATTGTTTGTATGTGTTTCGCTGGCGCCGCAGCTGGTATCGTCTATGCAGGATTTCAAGTGAATATGCTGGATATTGCACCGCGAAACGCATCCATTGTTATGGGAATTGCAAACGCAACAGCTAACACTGCAGGCTTTCTAAGCCCAATGCTTGTTGGGTTTATAACACACAATAAGGTGAGTTTCTTTTGAAATAGCCATGATCCTACTAAGGAGTGGTTTGACGACAAAAAAGATATGCAACCTTTTCTAAGTATCCATTTTCTAATTTCAAGCCGAGAAGGGCTGGGTACGAGTCCGCGTATTATGTGATAAACAACACGAGATCCACATTGTCAAAGCGCTAGCATACCGAGCTTTACAAGATTGGTGAAAGTATGGCTACAAGATACAGCCATTTAAAAATCAATCTCATAAATTAAGTCCCAGCAAGAAAAACCAATCTGTCCTAATCGCAAAAATTAGTTCCCGCAAAACACAAAAAATTGCCAATCCGCAAAAATTTCGTGCCAGACAGTACTTACATGGGGCGACTCATCGCTTTCTTTGAAGCATCTGCTGCTTTTATTTTTACGTTTGCAGCTCCATATTCTGTCCTAACTTTACACACTACATAGGAGAAATAATGCAATAAAAAATTTAACGTTTATTGTTGCATTGAACTTCTTGTTGGGCTAGTAATGAATTTTTTGACCTGGCTAGGTTGGTCTCCCACATAGGGAAAGTTAATTTTTGTTGTGTTTTGTAGACGTACTAAGATCTCGGCAAACCATGCCAGCCCAAGAGACCAATTCCGATATATTAAATTCATATTTGGCTGCCATGCTTGGGAGAATAAAACAAAAGAAATCATTTTGAGGCTCAGCAATGAGTAATACATTTCTTTTGTTTTATTTCCTCAAGCCTCAGAGCCAAGTATGAATTTTAATAAATCGAAAATGGTCTATTCATCCACTAACCTAGCCTGATTTTCAGCCGCCTCCTCGAACCGCAAACTCGCGAGAGAGACGTCTCTCTTGGGAGTTTACAAAACAAGGAGACGGCTGACATTCAGGATACTACCAATCGATCTCTTGACGGTTTAGGTGTTGCAGCAACCGATTAAAAAAAACTCTCTTGTTGTTTCTTCTCTTTCAGACAGCTGAAGAATGGCGTACTGTTTTTTGGATCACTTTTTTAATTTATGTCATGGGTACCTTAGTATTTAACACATTGATGTCAGGTGACAGACAGGAGTGGGACAAAGTCGAAGGAGTGTCTAGCGAATCTTCATCAGATAGCATGGCCGTAACATCAAGATAGCATTTCTGTAAGTTCGATGACTGTTTCAAAGCAAGAGCATAACAATTCAGAGGACAGGCGGCAAATTGGTTTCCCCGAAATATTTAAAAGCCGTAACTGTTTATCAGTTACCCTGCGAGCAGTAGCAATAGGGATTTAAGACCCAACGACGCGGACGACAACGAGAACGTCATATAAACAATAGGTTTAATAAGCAAAACAACAACTTCGCACGTGTATCACTCTTTTTTGTACATTTCTGTCCCGTTTTTGCACGACTACGACGTGAAAATGCCTAATTTCGCGTTCTATAGAGGAGGTAAACAAGCAACGACGAAATTTTATTCTCTTTCCGAGCTTGAATATGTTCTCTAGAAATTCAGCTTCGGGAGGGTTCGCCTACATTTGACAAAGTAAGTGGTTAGGAACAATCGCTATAAAGACTGAAAGAACGCAAATTCACTTTTTAAGCGACCTTCTTGTCGCCGTCGCGTCGTTGGATCTTGTAGTCCCTAATAGCGTGGTGGCGCTAACACTAAAATAGCATTTATGTAAGTTCTTCTTTTTTGAAAGTAAGGGCAAGTATGCAATTCAAAGCGGACAGGCGGGAAATTGGTGTTACCCGAAATAAATATCTATAAATCGTAAGTGTTTATCAGTTACCCTGCGAGCAGTAGCGTGGCGTCCTGCCTGGAGAAACCACTGCACGCAGGGCATTCAACAGTAGGATGCTTAAAATGAGTGCACATTTGGTTTCGGCTCCATTAAATCCTATAACTATTGTAGATCACTTTAGGAAGAGCCGTTCACAATGTGAGCACAGATACTGACAAGGCATATGAGTAGGAAAACAGCCCAAAGGAAATGTAAAGGCAGTACAAACGCTTTTTAACACATCGTCACTGCTGTACATGCCGAAACCCAACAGATTTTCGTACCCGATTTACACGCACATGCGTGAATTCCAATTAAAAAACGTCCCGGTTTGGTCGCGTTTCTGAAGATTTTGAACTGACCTTATACCTTATCTAATAATACCTTTTTAGCCTTCTATCTTGTCTTTAGCGATCGACAGGAACCGTCCTGTTTGAGGAAGTTTCAACCAATTTTCCAGTTTTGGGGTGCAAATGGTACACACTATTTGATACTCAATAGAAAACCACTTTATATTTAAACTATTTTATTGACAACTTGTTACAAACATCTACCGAGACAATCTCGAAATCTCGAGCAACTCATTACTCAAATACTACGGTTTTCTGAATTACAACGCAAAACTCCCTGCGGCAAAACCTGGGAAAACAGCCGAACCTTTGCAGCGCCACTTCGGGTTCCCACGCGAATATAGCAATGGGGCCGCAAACAACGGTCGTTTACTCAGGACATCAAAATAACAATGCAGAGAAACAAACAAATTAAACAAATATTAATGAGTTAAGTGGAGCACGATCGGTCTGTGTGCGTAGTCCTGAAAAGGACTGTTTCGGGAAGATTATGCTCTACTTACTTATAAAATGACTGCTGGTTCAAACCTTATACCATAAATTATTATACATTAATTCGTGGCAATAACAAAGAATGATGTGCGATGTGATCGTTTGTTTAAAAATAAAGAAAAGAAACAGGCGGGAACATCTATAAAAGGAACGTTTATTTACTTCGACGGTACAACTATCTGCATAAAGTAACAGCTTCACTTTCTGTTCTCTTGTAGCCAATCCCAGAGTTTTGTAACAGTCTGAAATTGAATGAAAGTAGTTTTACAATATACTTTATCTATACTGGGAAACTAAACCTTTTACAACAATAAATATGGGACTGATGCCGGTCGTGTTGACCGCGGCCAAAGAAATTTTACCCCGAATACGTCTCTCTTCTCTTACTGACCAGTCAAAATGTCAAAAATCAACACAATAATAACTTTAAAGTACAAGCCTAACAATCAAAGTGAGCCATGTCATATTATTTCCATTAAAAAAAAAAAAAAAATGAAAAAAGATGCTTGTCCTCTTGAAACGAAATGGTGTGGAAAGGTGTGCGAGAAAGAAAGCTTAACATAAAAAAAAAGAAAAAAAAGAGGTCCGGAAAAATTTAAAAATGTTATTAAAGCCGAAAGATCCATAAAAAACTCTTATTAGGTTTTTTAAAATTAGAACCACTAAAAATACAAAAAAATAACACAAAAAAAACTTAAAATAAAAAGCCAAAAAAAAAAAGGGACCCATTTCATATTTTTTCCATAAAAAAAAAAAAAAAATGAAAAAAGATGCTTGTCCTCTTGAAACGAAATGGTGTGGAATGGTGTGCGAGAAAGAACGCTTTACATTAGAAACGAGCAAAGATAGAGCTCCGGAACATTTTACAGACGTTTGTATGGCTGCATGATCCATAAAAAAGTCTGATAAGATTTCAGGAAATTGTGGGATCATATTCTCCTTAAAAACCAATCTCAAACTTGGTAACATCACTGGTTTAGTTTCCATCTTACATCACATCATACTGCTTATGTATGAGCAGAGTTGCCAGAGGGCAATTGTTTTTACGTCATCATGAACACTACAACAAACAACTCACCCCTTCATCTGTCATCTTAAAAGAACTTCTCATGTAGTTCTTAAACTTATCTACTTTCTTTGGAAGACTTGGTGTCTGCAAAATGAAAACATCACTTTTTATCATCTCGAACTGTTTATGAGAGTCTTCCACCTCAAGAATGCAAAACTAGGAGACATAACCAATAAAAACGGCTCATTCGGACTTCAGCCTCGGTGGATAACACTCTCCTTTGACCTGCATAATTCTTCACATCCTACTCAACCTCATTCAATAATCGCTAAACAGTCCATAAGTAAACAACTGTTACGACAGATCGAAACCCACCAACGACATTTAGAGTCTTCATAGCCAATAACATCACAGCTAACTGACAGACGATCAATAACATCCACCAACTTATGTGATACAACTCAATTTGATTCTGAAGATGACTACCGCACAGATTATCTAAACGACAGTCGAGACGTCAGGACTACGATCACCTGGACGATCATACTCAACCCACTTATGAAGTGACTTTACATATTCCAAATGAAAAATGTTTCTTTTTTGTTTTTCTCGCTGGCAGAACAATTCGCAAAGAGCCAGCCACACATTAAGAACTACATAAATCTCGTACAACAAACCTTTTTTAATTTTTCTTTGATTTGGTCCATGCTCAGCTGCAACAAAAGAAATTGTTATTAGGTTAGTTAATAGTTAATTGAACTTTATATTTATGTGAATGATTTTCGCACGGTAGAGTTAAACATCGCTCACAAAAAATACATTGTAGCTTTAATAAACCCAGTTTTGATTAGTGTAAACAAAGGAAAAGATTCATCTGTAAATTTTGAGAGGGAAACAAAATTTTAATGATACATATAACATATTACAATACACATGTATCTTACTGTTTCAGGGGTTTTTGGAGCAGGTTTTTTAGCATCTTTCCCTCCAGGTTTTGTCGTACTTTGCTGTTTAATTGAAAATACAAACAGTTATTTATACATTCAAACCGATACTTTGCAATCACCTTTTGGGAAATGGTCAACTAGACGCTTACAGGTTTACCAAGTCTAAAAGAAAGCCAAGAAGACGTGGTGACAACAAGTACTGTCCAGAACATAGTTCATGAATCAACCTCAAAGTGTTTTTTTCTCTCTGCGTGTGCTAAAGTTTATAACCATCTTACAGGCAAGGCTATGCTCCAAGAAAAATTATTCTAGGCAGCCCAGTGCTCTGAAACTGTGAAATCCAAGGTGTGATGTCCAAGGAAAAACTGGGCTTTCGTTACTTTTAGGGGACCGTCGCTTTATAGAGGAAAAAACTTACTGAATGCACAAGCAAAATGATGAGTTTATGCAACAATGTGACAAATGTATACCCCAAATCAGTGTAGAATGTAGGACGAGAGAAAAAAACATTAATCTTTTCCACTTAGTTTCTGTATATTATTTTTGCTTGAATTGCATTGTACACTGTACTTCATACGGGCTGGGTTACCACTGTAGGATGGGTTTGACTGCAACGCTGAATTGTACCTTACATGTACATTGTATTCTTGACACGCATGTATCTCACGAGCCACTATATGCTCTCAATGGACATCATTTCCGTTGTGTAATCTTACCCTTAGTGTGTTATATCACAAACAGTTATCAGTGCCAGTCCATCAAACATCTACACGAAACTACTCACAAACCTGCTTGGCTGCTGTCTTTGGTGGTTTCTCCTTCTCCTCTGCTGTTTTCTTGCCTGGTTTGGAGACTCCCTTTACAGAAAAGAAAACAAACAGCAACAATTTTCTAATGTATGCAAGAAAGAGTAGACAAAACTAAACAAAATATAGATACAAGCACACCTTATGAAATGTACACAGTATGGCTGAAAATGTCCTACTAGCCTCCAGAGAGCTGTACCTATTAATAACCTCCTCAATGCCAGAGAAATTGTCTTTTCTGGGTATTTCTACCTTAATACACCATGTCTAAAACACAGACATCACACAGTGGTGCAGCTACTTACATTGGTCATTGGTTTTTTCTGCTCTGGTTTTCCTCCCTGTGTAAAAACAGAAAGGGTTCAAACACATTCTACACCATGATCTCAAAAGGAGATGTGTCATGAATTTGATCAAAATCAAAAAAGTGGGAACTGGGCACCAAATTAAGCAGAACAAAAAAAAAATACTCAGGACATTCAAAGAAGGTACATGTATAACTAACACAAAATATACAAAAGGAGGCATGGATAGATAGAACTTGGAGGAGATTGAAACAGATTGCAATTGCGGTTTTTGAAAACTAGCTTGTTAGCCGAACAGCTTTTCAAAGTTTATTATTTTGTTCGACACAAAGTTCTGATTTTGTCATTCATAAGTGGTTAATTACTATCATTTAGACAGATGGCAAGAAATAGCCCCTTGACAAAAGTACTGTTCAGTAGTCATGAGAGTACAGTAACGGCCTGTAAGGCTAATGTGCTGCCTGATAGGCCATTTTCACAACTTACAGTAAGTGAAATTTTCAAAGGTATAAATTATTTCCTAAGGGAGCAGGAATTGAACAGAATTAAGTTATCTCACATCAAACCTCACACATCTAATGGTAATTATTTTCCATGACCAAAGAAATCCAGAGAAAAAGATTCCTCACCTTCTTCTTTGCCACCAAACTGTCTGCAATTTCATCTTCTTCCTCACTTTCATCTTCCTCGTCTTCATCATCATCCTCTTCGCTTTCATCTTCACCAGACTCGTCATCCTCCTCCTCCTCCTCCTCCTCCTCGTCTTCATCTTCATCCTCCTCCTCACTTTCCTCCTCGCTTTCGTCTTCCTCTACACTGTCCTTCTTTGTCTTCTTTGCTTTAGCGTCTTTTTCTTCTGTTTTATTAGTCTGATTAAAAGCAACATCCATAATCAACAACAATTAACGAGCATTCTTTATAATACACTTGCATAATGTATTCTAAGAATGTCAAACAGCAAAAGTGGCATAGTATGTGTGCACCTACATCTGTAACATAGTGACACAAAAAAGCATAAACAAAAAGGAAATAGTTAGCCATGCAAATTGCATGTACATTTGACATTTAGATAACTCTGAAAACACTTTTGCAAAAATGGCCACTGTTAAGATGTTTTCTGTGTCATTCTTTCATCAGAGTGGATGCTTGAGTGCAGTGAGTATGCCTTATAATATTATTCCTTTTAGCATTTTTTCAATTTTTTTTTTCATTTTCCTTTGATAACCTTATACATGTATATGTACATGTATGTTACTTTAATTTAATGACCATACAATATTGTCTCCAAGATCAACATAACAAGTTCATACCCCTTTGGCATGGATCAAGGCAAAATTGTGACTGTTTTCCTGTAGAGAGAATTTCTAGCAGAGGCCAGAGCATTTACTCCCACAAGTTTTTCCACTTTCATTTATTACCAGAAACTCCCATTTCCATCATTTTTAGACAGTAAAAAATCTGACTCTTTCTGTTGTTGCTAAATTTAGGTGGATATATGTTAAAAGATTACTTAAAACCAATTCTTACAGATGCTTTTGGAGTTGTCTCTGCAGTTTTTTTCTGTTTATCCTTCTTGTCTACTTCCATTTTCACAGGCTCCTCACTAGATTCATCCTCATCCTCTTCCTCCTCTTCCTCACCACTTTCATCTTCTTCTGAAAATAGCAACAAAAGAAATCTCGGTTGGATTCTAGTGAGTGTTATTATTTTTCACATGTATATGTACATAGTAAAACCAATAAAAGAAACCACAAATTATACACAATGTATATGTACATATATTGCACATTTGAATCAATACATGATTTAACTATAAACAATATGTTATTCAAACATCTGCTGCATATTACCCTCAGATAACAATTTATTGCATGTTCTCTAAACATGCAAAACAGGTGAGCAATACAAAGTTTAAGCAAAACTAGCCTACACAAATTTACAGGTATGTTTTGCCTACTATAAAGTGGCAAGATCTACTGGGAATCTGTGAAAGGTACACAAAGGTTCTGTGTAAGTTAACAGAACTCTTTGTCTCCCATGAAGGCTAACTATTGTTTGGAAACTGCCTACCTACCCCTACCCTAAGCCAACATTTTGTCCTAAGTAAATAGTAAGTGTTAATATTAGCTTAGGGGAGGGGTAGGTGGGCAGTTTCCCAGAAATGTATAATGATCTGCTTACCATCTTCAACTCGAGCAAGTTTCTTAGGAGGTCCTGTAGGAGTCTCGGAAGGAAGTGGTCGTTTCTAAGAAAATAAAATGAACAAACCTTGTTAAAAGAGAGATTTAATTTTGGCATTATTATTAAAAGCCAAAGTTTTTTAGTATGTACCTTTGAAGTTAAATTTGCCTCTGAATTTGCAAGATTGGGGGCTTCCTCATCTGCAAGATAAAATAAACACTCTCTTAAAACAAAACCTTTTCAATGTACAAGTAGAAAAAATGCTGAGAGACTAGGTTTCTTTTCATATTTTTCACATCAGCTAATTGACATTGGTAAACATCATTATACCTTATAAAGGCCATGTTTATCATAATATGAGAACCATTTGTTATTTATAATTTTTTGCCACATGTACATGTACACCTAATTGCAATATTGTTGTCGTAGAAAAAAGCAAAAAGCAAAAAGCAAAATAGGAATTAGTTTAATAGCCATGTGATTTAGATTTGTATATTTTAATAATTTAACAATTATTTAAGTCATTCATAATAACAAAGAGATAATTCTGTAATTCCGCGCTGTAAGATTCCGCACATCCAATGTACATTTGTAATTTGAGCACGTTTGAAATTCGCTAGATGAATCAGCCTTGAACTGCATTAGAATGACACCAAGAAACTGATGCAAATGATTTCTCTCATATTACGTGATTAATATTCAGTTATAAGTGTGTGTGTTGTGAATGATGCAAGCTATGATAATTAAATGCTAATTAATTCCTATTTAGCTTTTTGCTTTTTTCTATGACAACCTTGTTGCAATTAGATGTACATAGAAGTCAGTTTTAGTAATTGACAAAACATACTAATGACAGTACAGTGGAAGCTGGTTAATACACACACCAAGAGGACATGCCATAGTGTCCATTATTATCTGGGTGACTGTATTGAGTGGGCCGGTCTCAAAAAAAAAAAATGTCTGGGACACATGTTTTGTATTTTGATGAGGAAACATTGTTTTATTTCTTATCCATAACTTTTACAAGTTCATCCTTATGAACTCACAATCATTTTCAGACTAAAACTACCTTTCCGACCCTGTATAAGTATTTCTCTTGAAATTATACAACAATGGAATCCTGCATCCATGACTTAATTAACTTTGTATTTGCGACTCAGCCAGGTGGGCTGAACATTAGGTCATTTACCGTTAATTCTGCTAGGTTTTCACTGGTGAGCTATTCAGTCATAGACTGTGCAGATAACCAGTGTCTGTAATGCCAGGTTGACAATATTTGCAAGAAAAGTGTCTGTATGTCTGTATTAACCAACTTCCATATTGTATACATGGGTAAATTTTAGAGAAAACATATGCGTACATGCACATGTATGAGCTTTTCATTGGACTAATGAAACTGTCCGTTATATTATATGGGTGTCTGTATTAAGTGGGTGTCTATAGAGTGTGGTTCCAATGCACTACATTCACACTACTTAAATAATTTACCATCTTCGCTGTCCCCTTCACCTTCACCTTGATCGATGAACAATTCTACAAATACAAATCTCAATTTTAAAAAACGGAAATATAAAAAAAGTTTTCACAAACTGTTAATGTTTCTCTGATATGCATTTTTAGAATAGGAACTAGCTAAGGTACACATAGAAAAATACTGCAGAAATGAACTTCATCTCACAACTGAGTTAAATGTAGTTCATTAAAGTCAAGGGATATTATGATAAAAAGCAAAAAACCTGTCCTCATTCTTGGGGTATTGAAAGTAGACAAGAGCTAAAGCACTCTATTCAACAAACTGCCATGTTTAATCCTTTAGCATGCTAACAGTGTACCTGTGTAGATGTAAAACTACAAACGCATAACACGTGAAGGGACAAAGTTCGATAACACAACACTCATGACACGATGTACCAAAAATATAAGGGCAAAAAAAAAAATCAGGACGGTTAAAAACAGCTCTTTTTGCAAAATGTCTTATTATGATCACAATACTTCTTTAGTTGTAGTCTTTAAATATATAGACAAACTTTTTTACCTAAAAAATTGCTAGTTAACTCTTACATTACCTTGGTAAACAGAACCAGTGAGATGAACAGGACCAGAACCTACAAACATGTCATTTTAGTCAGAGATGCACACAACAGAATGGCCATCAGACAATGTCTGAATAAAATTAATTGCCTTTTAATGTTTGGCATAATAACGTTTGCAGATGGACATGATGTTCAGACACTGACTTGAACAAACTACTCAGTTACACTTATAAATACATACAAAATCTATAAAAATATATCCAAGTGAATAAAATAATCCACAGTGTATTTGTGAGATATTCATAATAAAAATAAATAACTAACCTTCTACGAGTTTAAAAACAACAGATGAAGGGAATCCTAAACTAAGTCGACACTACAAGGAGAAAAACATAAATAAATTTTAACATAAATAATAACCATTCGCTAACAAAATTATATTAGTTTCAGAGTCATTTTTAGAATATTTTAATATTTGAAATTTGTAGCCAAAAGACAAAACAAGCCACAGTGTTTACAAGATCTCTCATATCAAGTACAGTGTACTTAAGACTATAAAAAATAATTATAATGCACTTATTGCTATTAAACGGTGTTTACACTTTGACTTACATACATGTACATGTACATGCACCTGTCTCAGTAGCTTGATACATGTGTAACAGCTTGGAAGAATTGAACAAAATGAAAAAGGGCACAATAATGCAAAATGGGCAAAAACTTCACCCAAACTTTTCCTCTCTACTTCACATCTGTTAGTCAATTACTGTAGATAAATTGCCTTACAGGAAATGACTGTGTCTTGCATAGTTTGTGAACCAAGGGAAGACCAAAAAACAGTTTTGAAAACCCCTGGTTCAAAGTGAATAGCTTATTCTTAGAAAACCCTAAGTTGACATTCTAACCTACAGTGTAATAGATGCATTATGCAGCTGTATACCATTAAAAAAAAAGCACATGAGTGTGGGTGTACTGCATCATTTACCTGGTCTAGTCTTCCAGATTGTAAATTGAGAATTGTGTGGGTCACGGAGCTGTCACTGCTGTCTGTTGTTGTTACTTCCACAATGTTTTTCTCACTAGATTTAGCTTTAGCACCAAGACAAGCCTGTACACAAACAAAATAATGTAGCATCTATCGACAATAGTCATGTGCACTGTACATTTAAATGTTGGTATACACTACAAAGTTGCAAAATACTGAAAGGAAACCAAGTCTTAAAAAATGTTTTCTAATGTTTTGTACTACATTAAAAAGAGTTTGTTTGGTGTATCACATACATGTCTTTACATACAATATAAGAATGAAAAAGAGATTGCTAAAAATTGTAGTTCTGGAGCCACATACATGGTAATTGATAGGCAACTGCGCTGCCAAAGGGCATTCTAAAATTAATTGTAGCATATTCAGGGTACTCTATCGAATGCTCCTGTATGAACATGTAATGTTTCAGTCACAATAAACTACATGTAAATGGCATCTATAAAGTAAATGTGAACTTCTTTGGGACAACATACAATGTACACGAACAATGTTCTGTTAAATGGTCTAAACCATAGCTATGTGTTAGTTATCGACAGTAGTCAGTCCATAAGCATCTGATCCTGGCCGGTTAGAGTGCTAGTCATATCCGTTAGTGATGTTAGTCAATCTATTTATAGCATCTAATTCTTGCCCATTAAAGTGCTAGCATTATCTGTGCATTAGTCAATTCATGTGTGTAATGATCTTCACCCGTTAGAAAACTAAGGGATAACTAACATTGCGGTATTAAAGTTGAGCAGTCTGTTGTGATTCTCAACTCGATTTCTGCAAGCATCAAGCATCAAGAATTGAAAAGCAGTCATCGAGAATCGAGAAATAGATACTGTATCCCTTGATTTCACTAACATCATACTCTTTTGCAGGAAGGGAAATTTTGAAACAGAGGGTCAAAACAAAACAAGGGCAAAGCACGTGGAATTTATTGGAAGCTTCACGCACATTTAAATTTATTTATTCTGTATTCTTGATGAACTAAAGCTTAACATAATACCTCAGTTTCAATATAAAAACTGCTTCGTGTACTGAAATATTTATAAGCCCCATAGATCTTGAAACAAATAAGAGTTCCTTGACCAATTACAACTCTCAGAGATAATCCTCCCAGGACAAGCTAAGCAGGCCGAGCTGAGTTGCTAGGCCAATTTTGGCAACCGAGTTTTCGACGAAAAGCCCTCAATTTTGTCTTCCTTGCCAATTCCTAAACACGTGTCAATTGTCTGCCACCTTGCCCTTGAGATAACGTTTGCCTTCACAAATTTTCGAACTCAAAATCTAGTGGCCCCTTCGCACGTGGTGTAAACAAACGTTTCATACCTGTGACACTACTAATTTCTGTTCAATATCAGCTTTGCTCAATTCCTCATCTTCAGAATCCCAGCTATACTCTCTCTTCTCTTTACTTAGCTCACACCCTGTGAAAAATGGGAGTTAATAAAGGATCACTATGGTAAAACTGCACCAAAGTATAACGCCTACCCCAGAAAAACTCCTTCTCCATGGCCGCCATTTTGAAAAGAACGATTGCGCACGTGGTGCAAATAGTTGAGCGCACACACCGGAAGTTGAGACCGCTGGCCATTATAGGTACGCAGGAGTGTGGACAAGCTGTAGTCTTCAGGGGCCTAGTTGTTCGAACTCGGGTTAGCGCTAACCCTGGGTTAAATTTTAACCCGAATTTCTCTTTCTTTTTATCAAAAGCACTCTCTTTAGATGCAAGGAAGACCAAGAAACGTTAACTCGACTTTTTTGAGAGCATGCCTTCCACAGCTAATATATAACGCACCACGGCTTGACTGAAATTATATCGCTAGTTAATTGACTAATCAGGTCAATCTGACCGTACCCTGCTAGCAGAGTCGCTTCGATCTTTCCTAGATATCTAGGAAGATCGAGGGAGACTCTGTTCGCAGGGTAATCTGACCGTTATTTTAATACCATCAACTGACGTGATACAGAACTCACTTTGACTCTAAAATAAAAATAAATAAATTTCCTTTATTTACCCCAGGTAGTACTTACAGCACTAATGCAAGTGGGGCCGAGAAAATGCCGGAAACAAATAATTAATTCAAATCAAAAATAATGCGGCGGGTTAAGAATCCTAAGTGGCCGGAGGCAAACCAGTTGGCTATTTACAAGCGTGGTCGAGGATTTGAACTCGAGTCTACCGAGAACAAATCCAGCTAACGGTCAAAGCGGGACTTGAATTCGGGGCCTCCGAATTACAAGTCCAGCGCTCTAACCACTCGGCCACGCTGCCTCCTCATGAGAAGGAAGATGATGAGTCTCTAAAGATGACTATCGCACTGGTTGTCGAAACGTCATGCATTGCCGACGACATTCCTGCTCGGGATTGCACTCCCCCAGACGATCATATTCCACCTAACTCCATAGATAGCCTCCTTGAGGCCAAGGAAAGAAGATTCAGTTCCTGAAGTCTCTCTCGATAAGGCCTGTC